TCAGCCCATCAATTAGCTTTTCATAGTTAAGTCTCTCCACACTTGTATTACTTTTTAAACTATACACATGCTATAAACCGAATGCGATTAAAGAAAAGAGATTTCCAGTATAAGCATTTGATCTTGTTGAGGCTCGAACCACTGATCAATGATGTGCTCGCAGAACTTGACTTAAAGTCGTGTTTATTGTTGATGCGTTTTTACTAATGGAACTCTTTTTGAGATGATGACACGTGTTCAAATTCTGACCCTTGAATTCTTGCCTTATTGGTGTGAGATATATTTACGTGCACAGTGCTAATATTTTTCATTGGTTCTGCCTTTCGAGATTCTTCTATCTTACGCCTTATTCTTGTAGATTAGGGTTTCATCTTTGTGTTCTTCATCTCCCTGGATGAACTTGTAAACTGAGATCATACGTATTTGTTAGTCTCTGTAATCTGTGTTTCCGAGTGATTGTTGTGAGAATAATTATGTTTATGTGACATTTTTTAGCACTATAAGCCCAGATTAATTGAGTAGCATAAAGAATAATTGAAATGCAAAGTGTTGGAACTTTGGTAACTGAATCATTAAATTATCTTTAAGAAACATGTAACTTTTGCTCATTATTTATTTGGATTAAGTATGTTTCATCGATCTCGGACAAATAAAGGGCATATATTCAATCACAAAGTACACAAAAATAAAAATAAAATATTATAATGGTGCAAATTCTAAATTTTAAACAATTTGAACATCGTACTTGTTTGCGGAAAATTAAAGAATTATTGTACACGCAATTCTTCAATAGAACACACGCGTGTCATGCTATATCCTACATGAACTAGAAGTTAAAAAGAAAAAGAGATAATTCCCTGGCAAAACTTGCTTATAAGTTATTTACAAAAAAAGCAGCTTAGGCATTTAGATATGTTGAGTGTGAATATGATGAAAACCTGCAGCAGCAACAGTGAAGTTGCCATGTTTGATATATTTGAGTATGATGCATGCTTAATGCTTTGCCAACTTCATACTCATTTCTCTAACATGCAAGTGGGATCATGTTCATACTTCCTCAAACATAGTAGCTCTTTTTTTTTCCCTTCTGGTGTTATGGGGCTGGGGGAGGTAAGGTCAGTTTTGGAAATTGAGATTTCAACTTGAACTGTTTAATTTATTAATGGGAATAGTCCAAACTCTTACATGTTGAAATCTTGCTCGTGATCGTAGCATCTGTTTAGGAGAACTCGTACCTATCTTATCCCTTATCGGTTTCTTTCCCATATCCAGCAATTCGAGTTCAAGATCCCTACCTTATAAAACACTTAAGTTGAATGTTTTGCCCAATTAATGCCAATGTTCAATTTAAGTGCCTCATAAGGTAGGAATCTTGAGTTCGAATTATTAGGGAAGCGAAAGAAATCCATGAGGGGTACATTCTCTTCGAAAGCAGACAATACGGCTGGGGCAAGATCCTGAAAAGAGGGATCCTGAAAGTTACACGTCGATCATTGTTTTCATATTCATACAATGTGGGATATTGATCTTGAAATTATCACGTGATACAATGATCAAAGTCTTGAAATTTGATTATTCTTTTGAACTTTAGACGGATTAAATTGTTGGTTTAAACTTTTCGGACTTCGATATCACATTGAGTCATGAACTTATAATTTAAAAATTGTCTAACATTTTTAAAAGAATAATCCAAACTCTTATAAATTGATTATAATTTTGATTTCCACAATGTAAGATTTTCATCGATGAGGAGAATGTAACTTCCCTTTAATGTTTGGGTTCCTTACCGTTGAATTTTTCTGTAAAGAACATTACTTTGCTTTTAGTCATAGGATCCTGAAAGCTGCCAGATTATCATTTGTCTCATTTTCTACTCTTGGATCTGACTTCATCCAATTCATTCTCTTTTTCGACATTATTGCAATATGTTACAATCTATTTTGCTTTTATTTAACTTTTATTCACATAAAATAATTGCTTTCAAGAGTTTATTATTATTATTTTTTCAATAACTGAAAAGAGCAAGAAAAAAAATGGTAAATATATATTTCAATTAAGATACTTGTCTAGATTTAAAAATAGGAGGGAGAAAAACAGGGTGTCGTGTCATGTATTAATTGGATTTTTTTTCTTCAAATCGCTCAATCAGTTGCCGACACGTGGCAACCCTGTTTTTGAATTTGTTCCCGTAGCATGGTTGTATATATTTATGTGCCTCCAAGGCACATCTCCAAGTGGTAAAAGGGGAAGGTGGAAAAATTCCAACTTTGCTTGAAGCTGTCGCGTTAAAGGTTCGAATCCTGAAATATGGATTTGACCATTGGGTAAGTGCAAGTGTACAAGTAGCCCTCCCCCCTGTACCCTTGGAGGCATAACCTGCGATTTACCTCTTTCACCAAAGCACAGGACAGAATAGGTAGGGGCCGCTAAGAATGCGGTTCATCCTTTTATATATTTATGTATAGTAACCGTTGGCATATTCTTTGTGCTTTAAAAATTTGTCTGGAATAGATAGAGGTACATTAATTGATGCAGTGTAAGGAAGGCATGAGATTCAAAGCGACATAAAAAGGACAAATACATAAAAAGACTACCTTTCCTTTTACACAATCCTTTGCTATATTTCATTTTCATTACCCCACCCCCTCTATTCAATGTTTTATTAAATATATAATTAAATTGGAAAAGTGAAGCATTTTGCTTTGAATCCTATGATGTATTTACTTCTTTATTACATGCACGAATATTCTTTATGTTTTCCAAATGCAATTTGCTCTCTGATCGTTTCAGTCGATCTACTCTAGTGGGTCCACATGCAATACATTCTTACAACACAACAACGCCGAGAGAATATTAAGATTCAAAATTCCATCTTAAAAGAGTAATATGATATGAAACTCCTTCCTTAGCATGTCCCTACAAGATGGTCTTTGTTTGAATGTAAAATCTTGAAATTTGTATGCTCGTTCTTAGTATTAATTGGATTAAATTGTTCGATTGAGCTTAATGAACTGAAATACTGACTTAGAATTTCATCTTAAAATTCAACATGATACGTGACTTTACCCTTAACAGAGAATATTTTGATTATTGGACTTGTTATGGATATGCGGTCGAGCAAATTTCAACGAACGTGATCACAAATTTACAAAATATGTACACACTATGCATGTCAATTAGGAATATGACGAGATCATATGAGATATAAAACGTGTTACATCTTAAGCTAGTGCAATATAACTACAAACAGTGGTTTAATGAAAAGAGATGAGTGTACCCCATCCAAGAATATTTACAAGATGCATAGGGTAATGGTCAAAATTAAAAGACAGGACATCCAATGCATGATGTGTGTCTAAAGAGAGTTTAGAAAGCTGAATGACTGGGACTTTATTTCTTGATCCAAGGTGACAGAAAAAATTAAGGGGACAAGCCTGTGCCTGTGAAAGGATTTTTATTTTTTAATTTTTTTTTTTATATATATATAAAGCAAGACAACCAAAGAGAGAAGAGAGAGGAGGAGGCAACGCATGCGCTGTGCATCCCACCTTCGCCATTGCTTTTTCACTGTAATAAAAAGTAAAAACTGGGCACAACTTTCCCCCACACACTAACTTTTATAATTTCTAATTTATTAATCAACAAAATAAATAAATTTTATATAATCGTTTTATCATCACAATAAGTAGCAACAAGAAGTGATATATACCCATTCGGGGGTGGTCGAGTTGGCGGAGCAGGTGAACGTGGAGACCAAGGGTCACAAGTTCGAATCCTCTGCCAACATTTCCTCAGTCGAGCCCGTCGCATCGAGCTTGCCTAGTGCGATTTACTTTTCCTGTGTGATTTGCGGCTGCGGGTTCCTACGTCAAAAAAAAAAAAGTAGTATATCCTCGAGAAATGCCAACATTTTGCAATTTTCAGTTTTAAAAACTTCAAATAGACCGATATTTTTCCATAAAAATTCTCAAAAATAGAATTTAATAGCACCATAAAGCTCGATCAGGACGTATAAAATCTCAAGATTGGAAAAATACAATGTCTTGTTAACCTTTTGATTTAATTAGGTATTAGGTTACACCATTAACAAACCCTCGACTCGAACTCATTTTCAATCATAAAATATATGAAACTCATAACTTTTATCTATTTTTCAACTACATATTTCACCAACTTTTATATCGAAACCAAACACGGGCTAGATCATAGATGCACAAAGGTAAAAATTTCACATTACTGTTACAAATTTTTTCTTCGTTTTGAGAAATCAATATTTCATTGCATCAATTTCCGTGTATTGCATCCGTATGGCACTGTGTCAGATTGGCTTTCGCGTGTAAGAAAACCCAAAAATAAGTTGATTTTGTACCTCCCTCTAACCACGTAATTTCACACACATTGTCGAGTCGAGCTCAACTCTCTATTGTTATCAGACTCACCTGAGCAATTACTATTTAAAGCAGTTTCGTATTATTTGGGAAAAAGAAGACACGATGAGGCCAAACAGCCAAGAACAAACTACCCATCCCCAACTTATCTCGTGCAGATATAAAATGAAGATTAAACAACACTCAAATGTTATGTTAATAAACAAAAAAAGTAAATTAAAATCGAAGATATTGTACTGTTTAATCCTATATAGTAGGCTTACCAAACACTCGTATCTAAAGAGCTACCGCAATTATCACAAATCAACATGAGCTTACATGCACCAATAATGAGAAACAAAGATGTCACAACATTTTAGAAATGTACTGCAATGTCGTATTGAAACCACATTGTTACGAGTCTACTTGTATTATACATGACAAGAAGCTAATCCGATCCATGTTTTCCAGCGTCAACCTTTCAGGAACATCTTCCTGAACTCATCGTTCGATTTTGGATTTTTATCCCCTACTTCCTTAGTTTCTTGAGATTGCGCCTTATTCCTGGTGGGAAAAGCCACGGCTCTCACGTTTCTTGGCATTGCAAATGTGTTCTTCCCTATCAGCTGCACATCATCCCCACGCCTCTGACTGGCAGATTGTGGCTTGAGGCCCCCTTCTCACTCCGGAAGTCTCAGCAGTTTCCCCTGCATTACTTCTTCGATTATCAGCAGTCCCTGCAATTTTGAGGCATGGCAACGATAAAAATTAATATTACAATTTCAAATTTGGCAGAAATGAAGTCAAATGAGACATTGACAAATATGTATGCATCAAACAGATAGAAAACAGCTAAGTAGCATGTATTAATTTCAAGTGGCGACTTAATCAGAAACCACGGAGGGTTGCCCTACTGGATCATACAATAAGTTAGTGACAGCTTTCTGCAAGTTCAATTCAACAATTGAGCATGACACAGGCAGACTCACAGACATAAAGTTGGTAGAGATTGAAGGCAACATTCATAAAGTTCAGAAAGAGACTCGGAGATTCTCAGAAAAATTATTATCTCAACATACCTCGGTCAAACTTAGAGCTACACCCAGCAGTTTTTTCCCCTCTGCCTCGCTGGGGATCTGACCTTGCAATGCCTAATCTCTTGCCCAGTAAACTTTGTTTATTCTTCTCCACAGCTGCAGCCAGGTATGCATCATCGGAGAAATCCACATATGCCAACCCCTTCATATATTTGAGGTATGAATGATAAGGATAGCTAGACCACAACAGAAAAAATTCAAAAGAACAATAATATCAAGCAAATAATCACTCTATTAAAAGATTTGGATGAAATTGTGAATATTGTCTAGGCTCATCTTGATCCTATTTTTTTGTCGTCTTATTCCAACGGCATAAAAATGAAATTATCTTGCAGTAATACTCCTATTCAAATCCACAGATGTACATTTGACAGTGGACAATTGGTTGGCTAGCTAAAGCTTTTCTTCATATCAAATTTTACAAAAAGGAGATAACATGACCTTTTCTTCATACTTGTAACTCTGGAACTGTGATTGTTAACATGACCAAATTTTACAAAATGGAGATAATGCTAACATGTATAAGCTTCATAATAAGAACCAAATAAAATAAAACAAAGCAAATAGAATAGTTTCTAACACTATCACACTATTTCTCAACTTTGCGAGCTAATATCAACAGTGCAAAGACAACAGAACATGCATGATATCACTGTTCAACTTCAAACAGCTTGTCTTGGGAATAACAGAAAATCAACAAACCGCCACCACAATAAAAAAATTAACTGAAGGAGGCGTTAAAAAAACAACATTATGCAGTCCTACAACTGCCAGTAAATTGTAAAAAGGCTAAAGTCTTTGGGCACGAAAAGCAATGAAAAACTACTTGTAATTAGTACTCAAGAGAGGGGCAACAAAAAGATCATCACACCAATCAATCTAAAATGGGATCAAAAGAGCTGCCTGTTCATCTGAGAAGAACAGAAAAGAAGGGAGTGCTGACATCTCCCAACAAAAATATTGTAGGTTATAGATGTGACAAAATATTGAGAAAAACATGGCCGATTGTTCCCGTGAAATCTCAAAACTTAAAACGCAATCAGTGACCATCTTATTTGATGTCTGAGAGAATAGTTCAGTCCAGAAACACACAAAATAAGGGAATGAATGCACGTAGAATAACAAATACCATAACAAATCTAGTGTCCGATATTCATGGAAACTCACACTGAATGTTTTGCCGCAATCTCAGACTGTTAGCTTAAAATAGGTATAACTTAGGGATATCATGGAAGTCACTCAAAATTCAAGTGGGAAAATCGAATCTGAGTTGTATCCAGATATTACTTTCACGGATGACAGGACCATTTTGGGAAAAAAATTATTTCCTTTATCAAAAGCAGAAGTTTTAGGATGCAAAGAATCAAATACATTAAAAACCAGTTGCTCAGGGCCATTATCTGCAATGATCTTAAAATGTTTGTGCCTAATTGTCTCCGAAATGAAACATAGTCTTGGTTCAGCCACGACAATGTGACAGAGCAACATTTCTTTAATCTTTTTGGTTAAAAGATTGTCACAAGGACTCAAGAGAGGTCATCAAACCTTGATTACACGGCATGTTTATGTTTCTAAGGAACAGCTATATCATTTCACATTTAGTTCTGTTATCAATTTACTACCCAACTTGAGTAGAATAAAATTTGTGACTTACCCTTGATCTCTTGTCCTGGTCAGTTAATATCCGAATAGCAACCACTCCTCCAACATCACTAAAGAAACTGCGTAGATCCTTATCAGTTGCCTGTGGAAAGTTATCATTGCCAGTTAATACTTCAGTAAGATTACATTATTAATTTTCGTGTGAACTTTAAAGATGAGCCTCCTAAAAAAGAAGTGAAGAGAAAGAGAAACATGCCTGAAGGCTGAGGTTAGATATGAAGGCAGTGCATTTGTCATTATATATTACAGGTTTTATAGGAGAATGATTCTTCGTTTCCTTAGTGCTAACACTGTCCGCTTTGCTGTCATGTACTAGGGCAACTTCATTAGCTTCATCCAAGTGTCTTCCCTGACCTCTATCATTCCCATATGCTTTCTTATTTTTCTGATCCAAATCTTTCCTACGTTTTGCAGGAGGCTGCTCATCCATTGAACTTGAAACTGGCTTTCTCTTTTCCCTTGCATTTTTCCTAACTGGATTTTCTCTCTCATGTGTTGGAGCACCAACAGTTTTGTTCTCCTGCTGCAATTTGAATAGCTGCAACTCTTGAAGACGAGGAGTCACCTGTCACGATATAAATATGGGAAGTAATAGCAGAAACATTAGCAAAATTGGGTTTGAATTGTTTTCCAGGATATCATACTCCGCAAGTTTAGTCACATATATCCTATGGTTACTAGTAAACGTAAGTTTAGTTAAATATAAGAAAACCAAAATTAAATGATAATCAGTAAAGGAAAAAATGAAGCCTCTGTCTACAAGCAGCTTTTACTGTTTTTTACCTTCAGCGGTGATTGTTTTCACATTGGATAAGCTTGTCAAACCTTTGCTAAACACTACCACTATTTTCATATGAATTCTAGACTATGGCAGAGTCCTGAACCCAAATGCATTCTCAGGGTAATCATTGTCCCTATCAATGATTTTCATGAAGCTTGAAAGTGTCCCAATCCAAAATACATCCAGTACGACTAGTACATAAAGCATAAATGAAGAAATCATGTTATCTAGAGTACTCATGTACATCTGTATTTGCTATAGCAATGGTTAAATTACCTGCTAAAGAAACTGCTCACTGCTCTGCACTTGCAAGTTGCAACAATGGTATTGACAAGAAAATTATTTTAAACCCAATCATCTACAACTTCATAAAGGAAAGATGGATTCTTGTTTGGCTTCACTATCCTGCCCATGTATATCTAGTTAATGACCCACATGAGTAACAGCTTTATAATTTGTTTATAGGACAAAAGGAATCCCTGTCCCAACCCAAAGAAAATGAAACAGAAAACAAGTAGGAGGAACACTTAACATAAAGAACCTAAAGCTGACTCAAAAGAAAATGAAGCAGCAAAACACAATAAAGAACTTTTGGGCACACATACAGTTGTATATATAATTACGATGACTGAAAACATCATTGAAGGATAAAAGTTGAAAGTAGTGACGAACATTGCAATACAATTCATCCTCTTTATGGAGACAGCAGTAGAGAGGTATTTAACCATAGTAACATGTGCGCGCACGCGTAATGTACTCACACAAACACACACACATACTCTAAATCAGAGCTCCCTATATATTAAAATGATTTACTTTGATTTCACGATTATCCTTGAGAATAATTGACAAGAAAAGGTATTATATGGTAGGATTTCATCATATCAACAGTCCTATTTCCCAATTCCATATCCAACTCACTCTGTACTATTTCGGTATACCATATGTTTATGTAACGAAACCTCTTCTAATACACGGAAAAGGGGAAAAGGAAAAGAAAAGTCTAACAAGATGCATTGCGTGACCTTCCACAAGGTAACATGGGACAAGCTTCAGTTGCAAATTTCAGCCTCTCCTGAGCTTCCCATTACCTTGTCAGTTTTACGCCCCCCGCCCCCCACCACCAAACCACCACAAGCATACACATTAATCTTTCTTCTTTTCTTTCTTTCTTTCTTTTTTGCTTCCTTCTATTTTCATAAACCAAAATAGAATGTCACTAAAATTCTTTAGAAATAGCTCTGACCTCGGGAGAGAAAGAGTCATAACAAACATATATCTAAGATAAAAAGGATCCTTATCGTAAAGAAATAGAAAAATAATTACAAAGAAAAGTCAGAAATAAATATAAGCAGGTGAATTTACAAAATGAACAATAGATACAAGCATATAACTAAGCGGAATGAAAAGAAAAAGTCAATATGAAAATATACCCAGAGCACATGGTAATCTCATCTTTAGCCCAATTTCGCCACATGTCAGGACTTAAAGGAAACAACGCACTCATTGCCTCCCTTGCTTGTCTCAGCTTATCTATGTCCCCTTGCTTCCTCAAAAGTTTAATATACTACACAATCACGGAAGATAAAAAATAAATCCATGTCACCATTAAGAACAGTCATATTCATTAATGGACAAACAAAATGTCCTTCAGATAGAGATCCTAACAACATTACACATTAAGTTAACTTTTGAATGACTAACAATTATTAATAAAACAGGAAGTTATTCCGAGTAAGAAAAAGCTCAGAGAAGGAAAAGTCATCAAACAACCACCTCCATAGCTCCTAAAAACTTGTGTCTGCTATTTGACAAAACAGAGGCATTAATTATTAAAGCATCAAAAGCCTGTGATCTTATAAGTTATAACACGTAGTTGGTTCATATCTTAGTAAGGACCAAAAACGATATCAAAACCTTCAACAACTTTGAATCGCTAACTTAAAGAAACTTTAACTAATTACTGCCGCAATATTTAACATGTATAAAACATACACACATACAATTTCAAAATTAAGTTGGCAACGTTCAATGTATCAATAGCAACTTCATTTATCCAAAAATCATTAATCACGGACCATAATACAAGCGTGTGTGAGTGAAGGGATGGGCGTTATCAGTTTTTACTCGGACATGAGCATCGTAATTCGATGGATTATTGTAGAGCTCCAATTCTACAGCTTCAGTTTGGGCCTTCGCTTGTGTTTCGTCATCGGAATCAGAATCGGACTCGGAATAAGAATAGTCACTAGGTTTCTGAACGTCGGGCATATGTTCTTCGTTTCCATGTGTAGCCTCTTCTTCTTTAGAGGGATGAGGATCAACTAGGGTTTCATTTTCCGCCATCTAGTAATTTCGAGCTTTTGGGTTTATGAGGAGTTAACGGATAGTTCGCTTTAATAATCCGCGTAGATATAGATTCGGTGAAGGTGGGAGAAAATAATACAAGGGCTATTCTGATCAGCGGATGAGTTCATCCAACGGTAAAAGAAAATGACATAAAATTTGTCTTGTGCCCAAGGACTTCAAGAAATGCCCATGTCTTGTGCACAACAATCTATCTTTACATTGAACATCTACAAATTGACTATGACGGATTCAATTATGCTACTTGTATAAATGTGGTTTACAAAATGTGTTGACAAAATGACGTGGCAAAATATAGGTCATTGATTCCAAAAACTTTTTTTTAAATCATTGGCCAAGATGTTGCCAATATGTATTTTGTAAACTAATTTTGTAACCTAACTTTGTAAAAATAGCATGACTCATGACGGATTTATCTTCTAAAAATACATTAAAGAAAATAATGAAATAACAAAAAATAAATAAACATATTGTAAATGAAGTACGAATAAACCTCATTTAAAACAATTAAATACATGAAGAAGGATTTTAAAAAATTGCATCTTCCTCAACTAATCTCAGTAATAACTGTTCTCTAAATTGAAAAAGAAAAGCAGACCACAGCAATAATCAATAAATCAGGCTTCAGTACCAGATATTTTGACATAATGTCACGTAGCATTCTATCATTTGACTGTTTTAAACACAGTCAATTTTTTCATCAAACTATCTGCTGTCACCTCATCCATTAAATTTAGTAATTTACGCAAAATGCATAATCAAGCCACTGCAACCAAATTCGTCAAGATCAATCATCGAGTCACTACGGCCAATGTAGATCTTCAAAGACGACCACGACACCTACTGGGTCAAAATTTTAAGGCCAACCACATCAGTAATTGAGTGACATATTCATCTAGGCTCACTATCACAGCAACGAAGTCTCAATTGACACACAAATTTGCTAAAACTCGCCCACAATTGAGTTGCGATATTACACAAAAGTATATCATAACTGATTTTGATATTAATCAAAGTTAGGAATCTGTCTCGCCTCGACATCAATCAAGATCACGATGCGTGTCGAGATTATAGTTCCGATAGACCAACTAATCACCAAAATACTATAATCCACTCAAAAACTTCAGAGCAAGCCCAAGCTTGTAACGTTCTAATAGAGCAACATCCTTCAGTTTATTCAAGCACAGAAAATTTTACACTCAACAACATTAACAAAATTACATATTATTCTTACATTCTGCATCAAACCACACTTCGTTAAACAAAACAGTAACAGACGCAGTCACACAGTATTATTTCTCTCTACAGCTCAGCTTTGTTAGCCTTGATGTCCTGACCGGAATTCCCTTCTTCAGCAATGCTGATCATCCTCGGCTCCTTCTTCTTCTCCTCCGCCAGTTTCGGCACAGTAATCCTCAGTACTCCATTCTCCAAATGTGCCTTAATATTCTCCATGTTTGCATTCGCCGGCAGCCTGAACTGGCGCCAAAACTTCCCAGTAGTTCTCTCCGCCCTGTGCCACTTCTCGTCCTTCACTTCCTCCTCCGTCCTACGCTCCCCACTCACCCGCAAAATCCGGTTCTCCTCCACCGCTATACTGACATCCTCTTTCGTCATTCCGGGAATGTCGAGGAAGATTATGTGGGCTGTGGGCGTTTCCTTCCAGTCGGCCCGGGCTAAAGCGAGGGCGTCGAGAGTGTCCATTCCTTTAGGGATGGCAAGAGGGGTTTGTTCGAGGATCTTGAAAGGGTCCTCCGGTGGGAACATCATGTCGAATATGGAGCGGGTGTAGGGTACTAGTGCGTGAGTTTTGGTTGGCAAAAGTGCTGCTGCCATAGCCAATACGAGAAAGCTCATCAAGATTACTCTTACCTTGTCCATCTCTTACAAACTCTGAAGCAGAAATCAAAAGCTCTCTTTGAGTGTCAACTGAGGAATGGAAGAGTGGAGATGGGACTTATATAGGGGAGGAAGAAGAATAGAGAATTGTATGTATTTTTCTGGATGGTTCTGTATATTGTAGGTTGGTGAAAATGCATTATGGTGTTTTGTGGAAGATGCTTGCTACTTCTGGAAGGCTCACGAAAAGTTGAAAACCAAAAGGATAATTGAGCGTTAACATCGGATGAACATGTTTGGCTACTTTTTATCTTCGTATTTCATCAAACATAAAATTTACTAGTCACTTATTATTTACACATTTATTAAAATTCAGTGTTTGATAAATAATGATAATATAAATATTTAAAAAATATAAAAATGGTCTAAGAACAAATTATATACTATAAGTCCATAATTAAACAAAAATAAATATAAAAAAATCAACTTTTAATAAGAGTCCACAATAATATTATTTTGTCAAATTTGAGAGATGAACATATGCGAAATTAGGAATTTTACATTCTATGTTTAACATTCTTTATTTTTTCTTTCTACCTTTGAATTTGATTATATTGTGTTACCTATTCTCATCCTTCACTTCCTCGTATTAATGCGAAAAATTCAAATTTATTGTCTGCTTCATTCCAAAATTCAAATTTTAATTTTAACAACGAAATACACAATAAATTTGAATTTTTCAAATAATGAAAATAACTTAAAATTCTACAGAGAAATATGATAAAATTAAATTTAACTATTGTATAATTGAGTAATCATTTCTCATGAAATCAACAACCCGAAGTTGTTATTTTTATACGACCTGTCCGCTTGAGGTACACATTTTTTAACTAACAATCTGTCAATGTCATTTTTAAAAGTTTAGTGGTCAAAATTCAATAACCTCAAATTTTAGTGAGCGGTTAAAACCGTTTTTCAAAATTTAGCAAGGAATAACAAACGTGTCAATTTGTTAACATCGTGACAAGTGTCACGTGTGCATTCTATTAAGCATGTTATTAATTTCGTTAAAGGTTTGAAATGAATGTTTCGTCGTGAATAACATTTAACGTTTGGGTAAGTTTAATGACTAAAGCTGAACATCTCAAAACTCCAGTCACCAATCAAAGACACAAACATTAGTTTAGTGACCTCGGGACAATTTACTCGACATAAGACGGATCTAATCACCATTCTCAAATAGAAAGACAGAAATAAAGGAAATATACCATCACGATAAGTATGTTCCATGAGAAGATTCAAACTCGGAAGGCATAGAAAAGCCAAACCAAGCTACAAACGGTTAATGGAATGCACGAGCGTGCACGAAGAAAAACCAGCATATGTTTTTCAATAAGATGTAGCAGCATCAGATTTGCAGCTTGATGAAAAAATTATTTCACAACACCGAAGTTGTGAAGAACGATGAATCAAGTGGCAACAATAGGAACATAGTACTTCAATTAGTGATGACGCTCTTGAACTTAGTAATGCAGTCTAATGCACGTTTGAAATCACTTTCTTCCAATGCAATTGTGAATCGACAGTAACCAGGAATTCCAGTCCACGCAGCACTGTTGATGCATAAACCGGTACTCAGGAGCATGGCTTCCCTAACATTTGAGTCGTCAAGCTTGATTGCCCGAGCACCGGCGCCATTCTTAATCTTAACGTTCTTGCCAAGATAAGCAGATGGTTTTGCTACAATTGACACACCGGCTTGAGCTTCGAGTACCTCCCAACCACACTTTTCGAGTGTCTGTTGTGTATATATATCACAAGAACTTGCATTAGATGATGTGAAGGAAGAAGAGATGATGGAATCATGATTCAGAAGGATAAATTGTGTCATTACGTGGCAGTACAACTTAAATAATAAGAAGAGCATGTTTGGCTAAGCTTAAAATGTTTACTCTGTAAGTAAATTTACTTGCAAGTAAACAAGTAACTTTTCAAGTAAAACATTTTTTTATTTTATAGGTCAAAGTTGAAAATAAGCAAGTTATTTTCACAGTAAGATAATTTTTTTATTTTTTATTTTTACTTAAGTAAATAAAAAGTTACTGAAAAAGGAACTTCTTTTAAAGCATGCCCAACATGCTTTTAGTCAAATCAGGGTCACAAGCAGTAAATAAAGTTGCCCTTTCAATGTCAAGTAATTGGACAAACATGGACTTTAAAAAGGAGCTTAACACTAACATGCTGTTGTTATCAGTTATTAACAACTACTCATTGGAGATGATAACAGACTGCTCTAAGTCTCAGCATAATAAAATACAAAAATAAGGTTCACATAAAAGAAAAAGAAGGAAGAATATCTACATTTAGTATTTATCAAGAGAGAATTAGCCCCTGTTTGAACCACATTAAAATTTCAATTCTCATTCTTCTACTCATTTTTAACCACATATTCTTCAATAAAATAATATTTTTCATCACATCAATAACTTTTCCTTCTTTTTCAAACACACGTTCTCCATCAATCTACTATTCCAAAATACATTCTTCCAAAATAATGTGGCTCAAACACACCCTAGTTTCTAACATGAATGAATACTGTTCCTTAAATGCAAGACATACCTCTTTCAAGCGTTTGTATCTACTTCCCAGAAGTTCTTTCTTCTCAGCAATAGCATTCAACAAGTCCCCGGATTTCGCCTCTTGAAGATCCAATAACTTCTTCAGTGTGTATTTTATAGTACTGTGAGGCTTACTTAACCCTCCAAAGCTATGGAATGCATCAACCAGAGAAGGCTTGTTTAGAAGAAGAAATCCAAATTTAATCCCACCAGTAAGCATCTTAAAAAATAGTCCCCCAAGAAGAGAGACGCAAAAATCCGGGTTGATAGAGGAAAGTTTCTCCATAGTAGCGCCTAGATCCAAGCCATCACAGCCTTTGGAGTTAAATTCCACCCCCGAGAACGAGGTATCTAGTACAACCCTTGCCCCAAACTTTGCACATACAGTCAATAAAGTCTTTATCTCTTCGTTGCTGTAAACCAAGCCTGTTGGGTTGACAGTTGGACCAGAAATGTAGATCCACGGTTTATGGACATTCTCCAACGAACGTCCAAGAGTTTTCTCAGTCAACTTGAATCCGACTTCTGGATTGGTTTGGATGTTGATAACCTTTGCTTTTAAAAATTTTGCAGCAGACACATAATTCCCATTTGAACCAGCTGGGAAGCAAAAAGTGCCTCCCTCTTGAATACAGCAGAGTACCAACTTATTGAACAATGCCACCGGACAATCTGCATATATGAACTCTGTATTACCATTAGATGGAAACCCGTAACTAAAGTGAACCAATTGTTTGATCCCGCCCGTGACATCAATTTCCGACTCCGCAATATTCTGCCTTGCAAAACTCTCGAAGATGGCAGCCTTAACTGGTGTAGTTATGGGCAAAAAACTTTGATCTACATCCATATGAATCAGGGGAGATTCGTCTGTTTCGTTAATTGATAACTCAGCAGAATCGAGGACCGAGCTAGCAGAGCTAGAAAAGCCAAACGCCTCTTTAGCTTTTGCCTTCTCACCTACTCTCTGATGACAGGATCAAAGAATCAAGCAATTAATAAGATTATCCAGAAAAGCTTGTGTAAAATCTTTTTTCTTTTCTTTTCAAGGTAAATCAAAATTTTCATTACAAGAGGGGTAGATACTAGATACCATATACTAAGAGCATAGAAAGCAAAGATCATAAAGAATTTTATAAAATTCATGCTAAATCAACAGTATTTGTGAACTCTCAGCTATAAGAACACAGAGACCAAATCTTGCATAAAAGATCACGATCGCGAAATTGGTGAAGCTCCTAGCATAAAGGACCTATAGACTTTATGGAAATCCAAAATCGAAAGACAATAATACTGACATGTGATTGATATATTCTTCCGTCACTTATTTCCACTTGTCTCTAGATTAACCTATGTTTCTAACTTTTAACATAAACTAAACGCCCAACTGCACTGATGATATTCTTAATCATCAGGATGGAAAAATTAATTTTTTTAGTATAGTCACAATTTTTTTTACATGCTCTACCCTGCCACGATCTCCCAATGGCTGAATAAATAATGAATTGGGCATCTTATTACATTGACAACCATATGAATAGTGTTTTTGATCTCAAGACATGCTAACCTGTGCAGGTGGATGTCGATCAGCAAGCTGAAAAGCTAGAAGCTCGTGGAAAAGACAACCATAGTAATACTGACTGATTATTGCAGTATTTCCTTGTAAAAGTTCCACAGTCTTAGACAATGCTCTAAACATTGTTGCTTCTTCAGATATAACAAAAGCTACTTCCAAATCTGAATAAACCTGGGCAAAGAAAAATGGTAACAGGCATTGGATAAGCATACAAGTCCTAATAAGTTAAAATTGACATCTTTTGAACATTTGCATGACTAGTGAATTACAGATATCACTGATAGAGACTAAATAAATCCCATTAAAAGATGCTTGAAGAAAGATACCTGATTTTTCAGTAAGCCACAAACAATTGCTGCATGTGAGGGAAGAGGAGTTCCAGCAAGATATTTAAAGACTCCATTAGAAGTGGGGAGGCTAGATAGCTCGAAATGATCTGATATATCTAAAAACAAACGACATCCAATTTCTCTGGTGGTATCTAAAAGATGCTCAAATGCAGCGCTAGTGACGGACTCAAATTTAGCTATCCCAGAGACCACCACCAGTGGCTTCAACTTCTTAATCAACTCTACCATCAAATCTGATTGGCGTGGGGCTTCAATAACAGTGATATCTTCCTCTGAAGTTTTTGCAGCTTCAGTCTTCTGCAAAGGTAAACAAATTTAAGAATTTGCACTAGGCAACACCACCTATAATTGAAATGGAATTTTCGACATTCTTGCCACAATACATATTCGATATTAAAGATGATGAAATTTCGTCAGATGCCAACTTTTAGAATATCTGGTGGATTTCAGTATGAATGTCAATCTATCCATTTCGATCAGTGTACTAAGCAAAATGGACAAGATCGTGTGCTACTCAACTCAAAGTATGAATTCCCCCAAAATGGACCTAGAGCGCATTCCACAATGTTAACATTATCGATAATAAGTTTCCGCATAAAGCATAATCTGTTCCAAGTAGATATTCAAAATTTGAAAACAAAATATATTCTGAGAAGGAGAAAGTAAAGGAAAGAATTCTTCACCAGTGGAAGCAGTTATTAAATATCAGTAATGCACGTTTGTATTACCTAGATAAATCTCATCAACCTTTACTTTGAGGTAGTGAAAATTGTCATGAAACTCCTCCTCAGAGGTAAGTGCAATTTGATGCATTTTTTCTATTCTAGTTTTCTACAAAACAATGCTTTTGTTTTATTTTTTAACGTGACTTTAGATGCTGCCTCAAATATTTATAGATGTAAGCAAACTCTCAGAAGAACAGAAGATGACTTCTTGATGTAACTTGTAAGCAATTATAAATAAGCGTAAAATGAAAAACAACAGAAATAATAGATTGCATATCCAAATGACTTCCAAGCACCGTACCTCAATGCTTAGTGATGTCAACCATTGCCTAGGTAGATGCCGGGTCAATTGTTCGTCAACAATGGCAAGTCGCGGTGATAACAAGCGTAGGGCACTTTCAATTGCAACAGTCCTTGAAGGAAATACAACAATGTTCTAGCCATAATGAAAAATGAAATATGAAATTAGATATGCAGATAAATAGAACTTTAAAATAGAGAACATGAATCATCCCTTAAACGCCAAAGTGGAGGAAAAATTTTAATTTATTTTTACTTTTGTTTTGGTGTGGTGGGTAGGTAGTCAATTACAAAAGACGAGTGAACGATAAAGCAGTATGCACCCGTTAAAGGGTGAATCCCCCAGTAGAGTCTTTCTAGAGGAAGGAAAGCGATATATTTCAATATGTTTAGTGTGAGAGTGCATCAAAGGGTTCTATCATAAACAAATCTTCCCTTCTACACCAATCACGAGTTTTTCTCTATTCCTCTCGTAAGATGGAGGTTCAGGCCCAACTATATTAGTTTCTTGTAGAAAAGGTCAGCCTGCTTAAGCATAATTGAAGAGATCTTTAAATAACACCTATAAGTCAGAAAAATTATCAAAAAGCGTCTTAAAACACATTAGCCGTTGAGTTCCTGGCTTTCAACAGAAGGTAAACTTCTAAAGCAATTCATGAGAACGAAATAATATATTTGACAAGAACAAATGTTTGTACCAGGAACTCAATGAAACTAATTTGGAATTTAGAAGATTAAAAGAATAACTCATCCAAATATAGTTAAATCGAGTATAATTTCACATCATTACAAATTTACTATAAAAATAGCTTGCAAAATGTCTTTACGAGTTTTGGCAATACAGAACTAACCACATTCAGATCTCTCTTTGCCAGGGGCCATAAGTATGCATTTGTCAATTGTTTTCTAAGAAGAGACATAAGCCGTACTTTGTGACCCTCTTTGACTCAAACCCATTCTCGAGGCCCCTATGGTCGTCCCCTTCCCTCCCAGTAAATGATTTAGTTTAGGGTTGTGAGGTTTCAACAATCATAGGTTCGACTTGATCTACACAACTGCAACTATCTTGTAAGTTGCGACAGCTGAAGATAACAAAAGCCCCTCCTTCTCCTCTTCTTTTGACACGCGTGGCTTTTGACTACAGAATTCACAAAAGCACACATGGTTGCAGATCTACAAATTTGGCAATATCTTTATTTAAATTGAACCATTTTATTTACACATCACAAAAATCACAAAGCACCAGACAATGGCCACCGTCACTGGAAAATTGGGCAAGTATACTAATCAGATGCTTTGGAGCCTTCATCATTTTTTTTCGAGCTTTGTGTTCATTTTTAGCTGGCAGAATTTAGCATTTTTTTCCACTTGAATTGGTCCACACGCACATGACACAACATATTTAGAGAGTTATTGCTATTCCCCATAGATGCATGTCATGTAAATGATTCTAAACTACTAGTCTTGGAGACGTTCCAATATAAAGTACAGAAAAAGCTGCATAAATTTTGAACAAGTAAAACAGCAGCGATCTATTTATGCAACTTGAATGACATTAAAAGGAATATTATACTACAACTAAGAGATACAGTAATTTCCTTACATCTGCAGTTAGTGGAATACGGTGGTATGTTCTCATAAAGGCAGAGATGAGACTGCGGAATCGTCTGCTTCCAGCAGGTTGCTCGTAAGGAAAAAAGGATATCTCTTTTAAAACATTAGTGAGATGAGCAAGGAATGGAATCTTCTCGTCAGCAACAGAATCATCTTCAAAGGATAAATCTAAGGAGCTGCTGATATCATCAAATCCATTTCTGAGAAATTCGAAAATCTTCTTTACCTGTCAGAGCAGTTAATGAGTATTATGCTCATTTTCGCGACTGAATATTATCACCACACTCGTGATATTCTGTATGAACTAAACATTCATAAATAAATCGTACCTGGTTAGGTTGACGAAGTTGACAACTGTAGACCGATAGAGCATGAGAAATACGGCCCCCGGCTTTAGCATAGGCCCACGCTGTACGGGCACAGATTGGCTGGTCGCCAACAAGCCCCATGAAAAACTCAAAACGATGTGGACTATTCTTTTCAATTTCAACTAAAGCTGAAATATCCGTGTCAGCAGCCTGCAAGAAGAGCTCTCTAACTGTCTGCACTTCTATGGATATAAATATTGCAATAAAGTTAATGTAGCAACCTGTAGAATTTTAGTCTGCCAAAGCTTGTTAATACAGAGACCACGGCGCTCAAACAAACGTTCACATACAGCTTGTCCTGGGCGACCTCCCATATTAAAGATCATAATCCCCAACGGTTTTATTACAGAAATTCCTTCTTCAACAGCCCGTGCAATGAGCCCCAGGCCGAACTGGTCCTCCACAAAGCCCTGAACATAATAAAATAGATCAGTAAAATAAACTCTTATGCTTAGGAATAGACATTATCCAGATAATATGTTTAAATACAGGTTGAGCAGATCCATGGAAAGCTCTGCGGCAGTGTGTTTGGTTGCACGATGAAATAAATGTGAATGCTAACAAACAAATATTTTCAGCAGGAAATACACAGTAAAATCTTGAATTCAAACTGCTGGAATAAAATGAAAAGGGCAACGCTTCTTAATTATGACAGTAACAACAGTTATATATAGAAAATAGTTATGCACAGAGCACCTACGGGCTACAATGAAAAATTGAATGTGACATACCCATGATAAGATGCAACTTCTAAGATTAGACTGATCTTTCAATTTTCTGCTCCATTTACACAAAGTTTCTTCTCAAAAGAGGTAGTTGTTTTGACCAGAAACTCATTTAGTTGGTTTGCTGGAATCTAGATTATTCAGGTTCTAGAATGCAATCGTTATAAGTCAAAGCACATCAAAAGTACTAATATAAATATTTCAAAAAAAATTACTAATAGAAACAATTTCAATGCTGCGAACAAGAATAAATGTTAGTTACAAATTTCTAAATTTTCATAACACAATCTAAATAAAAGGGCCTTGCAGCATTTTATCGCACAGAACATATCAGAGATAATATAAGGCTGAATCCTCTAGTTGCTCTTAAAGTATCCTATTACAATATAAAGGAAACAACCTTTATACTTGGGCATGAGGACTTCAAATGCTAATATGTTACGTTGAAATTATACAACAAATAACAAAGGCAGAACAGATTTTATTAAATAACCTGGATAGCACAATAGTTGCTTAGAGAATGTAGGAATTCTTCGCTAGCATTTTCTGTAATCATTTTGGACATTGCATCGGGATTAGGGTTAAGAATCTGCAAGGAAAAGAAATGGGAAAATACATATGTGAGAAGATTCTGTCAAAAAAATTTTGGATAACTGAAAATGCATTAAGAGCATTAGTCACACAGAAAGGATGCTCTTTAGCAAATACTCGGAATAAATATTTCACACCTGTGGTATGCATCCAACAATTCGTTCAAGTTCTATGTGATTATCCCTGCAGTAAGATAGCAGATCGGATTCATGAAACTCAACCCTGTCAAGTAAAGTTTTTTTCTCCCCATCGTAAATTGGCTGGCCACTGTCGTCCAAAGCATTTAAATACAGATTTATCCATGAAATCTTTACTGCTCTTGGATTAATATCGAGCCCGTAAACCTGCAACACGATATTTGGGCACATTTAGATGCCTCGTTTTCAGTCTTCAACAAAACCAAAGATCGAGGTACAAGTAGAAAGGTAATGACATTTAAATAAGACTGCATTTGGAGGTTTTAGAAACCAGGGACCTTTAAGGGTGACCACTTTTCAGCAATTGCAATGGATATCCATCCATTGCCACAACCGAGTTCAGCAACTGTCTTGTCCTTGAAAATAGAATCTGGGTGCCTGTTAAGTCCCTCATAAAAAGTGAAGGACCAGTCTTCTGGTATAAAAATGCTAGGTATGACCATCAGTGTTAGTTTCTTTCTCTTCTCGAAACCTGAAAGAGCAATAGGAAATGTCAATGGAGCAAATCACTAGTTACACTTCCAGTTAACTATTTGCATACATGTCAGAGAAGGTATCCTACAGCTAAACGGTATGATTAATCTATGATCGGCATTGCACCTAAATAAAATTAAAGAAAAGCCATTGATAAAAAAACTAAGCACACTCACAGCAAAGCAAAAAATTATAAGAAATAATCCAGTAGAAAATAATGGGCAATTAAGGAATCCTAGATATTGATGGATCACTAAGAATGAAAAACGAGTTTTTAATTAGCTTTTATTCTTGAACTCAGTAGGATTCCAATAATCAGAGTGTTTAAGTGAAAATTCAAAGATAATATCTTCTTTAGATTTGTTCTGAAAGTACACAGAAGAACCAAAAGAAGGGTCAGGAACAGTTGTAGATGTGTCCTAAATGCACAATCTGGATTTATTAGCTTGTTTTGGGCTAGAGAGGACTCTATTGACCAATGAATTTTGCAATCACAAACATGGCTGCCATGCTAAATGCTTTCAGAAATTATATCACCCTTTACATGCTTTGTGCTCTGTTTGGGTCTAGGATTTCATGGAGGACGGTGGAAGGGAAAAGTGAAATCAGTGAAAACTAATTTTCATCTCCTTCACCTATCTAACTGAGCAAATGCCAACTATAAAAACATTTTGAACATAATGGAAAAAGAAAAACAGAGAATTAAATGCATGAATTAACAAATGTCTCTTGTAGTTGTCTTGTGCGTGCATTTACTTACTGTTTCATTCATGAGCCAAATTTAGCCTAAATAATCAATCAACCGAATTCATTGTAATAATAGAGCTTTAAATTCATTTCTTAATAAACCAAATTCATAAAAATACTAATGGAACTCTTGAACGATTCTCTCCTGTAATTCAAATAATCAGGATTATGTAAATTACAAAAAAAATTCTCAGCTGAATGGACCGATCCTTCCGAAACAAGATTCAAGATTTCTTTAACCATGAAGTTCATCCACATAGAATTCAGAATGAAACTCCTATAAAGTTCATTCTTTTGGTTATCGAGTCCCATCTTCCGATTTTTTTACCTTTTTATTTAAACTACCTCATACAAACCGCTCCACCAAATTACTACTTAAACCATCAAATTCTCTTAGACTCACGCATCCGTATTATACACAAAAACACTATAAATACGGAAACACGAATATAAGCACATGTATGTATAGAAATGGAGGGTGGACCTTCATATTGTTCGACGTAGATGTCCTGAATTTGGAAATGGTATGTATCGAGGCACTTCTCGGACGCTTCTTTAGTGTCGAATTGTTTATGGAGCTCCGCCAGGAAGATCCGGGCATCTTTTCGAGTATTCGGGTTCTCCAGTCGCTCCAGGAGTGATCGGAGCGCACTGTACGCCGCGTCACCGGATTGTTGACACTGCTTCAGGAACTCCTCCATCTGAATCTCTGATACCTCACCGCACTCGGAAATCACTGGATGATTATACCTTTGACGTACCAATACGAGTGTGTATATACACGTAGGGAGAGAGAAATGTGAAAGAGCATGTTTGGCTTAAGAAATAATTAAATATTTTAATAAGTAAACTACTTTAAATCTTATGGCCGGTTTGAAAGGGTATTATTTTTTTATGAAAAATGGAAAACAAATTTCAACTTTCACTTTTGTCTTGTTTGATACACTTTTTTTTATGGAAAAAGCTTTCTTGGTTTGACTCACATGCTCACATTTTCCTTAGTTTTGTGGAAAATCAATTTTCACAAATTCAGCTTTTTTTTTTACAATTGAAAAAAATTCTAGACACAATAGTAAAACAAATTATCGCTTTTATTGACAATTTACATGCAAAACGAAGTCAAACAAATGGTACTCAGTGTAGTAATTTTTTACATTTTTTGGTAATTAGAACAAATTCTAGACCCAGTGGTAGAAAAAATATCACTTTAATGGAAAATTTCCATAAAAAATGAAGCCAAACAGACACCAAACTTTCAACATTTTCCAGGTGAAAAATTATACAAATCAAATATAATTAATTACAATTCTCAGTAAAACAATTTATAGACAATTCAATTCTCTATAAAATATTTTATTTCCATATTTGCAATCAAACGGACCCTTAAAGATAAATTTAGCCCATATTTTTTAAAACTTATTTTGAACAACACATTTGATGATACCATACTTTTTATTAATTTTTTAATCATATACCACTCTTTGATGCATATTAAAATCGAATTTTTAGTGAATTTTGATTTTTAAAAAAAATATTTTGACTTAGATTATAATCCCTAACGAATATGGACATGTTTTATCAACTTTTATTAAAATCTACTAAAAATTTAATTTTTAAAAATAATTGCAATTTTTTAAATTTAGCCTAACATGCTTTTCGTATTTAGCCCCATTTGTTGATGACGACAAAGTAGTAAAAGGACCAAAGGAGGAACAAATTATTCAAAGAAAAAGTCATTCCGTAATCATGGTGGCCATTTTGTTTCAAAAGATGCAGGAGCAATTACTGTTTTCCTTTAAAATAGCTGATGTGACTCTAGATTTGGTTGAATAGATTTAGATATGACAAATATATTAGGAAAAGATATTAAGGTCATGTTTGGTAGGGATGTTTTTAGAATAAATTTTGTGAAAAGTTATTTTTCGAAAATAAGCGATTATAACGTACAAAAGGTTATACGTTCATCAGTCCATGTGTAAAATTATTTTGTGAAAACTCATTGTATTCTTACCATACTTTTTAGTAGGTATACCACATTTACAACGACGATTATTCATTTAATTAGTACATATTGTTTCTATAATAGTTTTTGTCTAAATATTTTGTTAGCATAGGAAAAATACTTTGTTTCACTTTTTTATTTGTACTTTTATCTAACTTATTTAAATGACGAGAGATAAATAGGTCATCTTATTCAATTTTTTCGAATTTTTTTAGGATAATTATATTACTATCACAATTTATTTATTTTTTTGTCACACCACATTTATCTTATATACTAAAATGATCATAAGCAAAAAGACACGAATAACCCTCTTATTATCTTATGTGCACTACAAAACATACCATGTTTACACACACACAATGTATATATTCGATCATAAGGTTAGGAATTCCACAAAACAATAGTTGGTTTTAACACAAGCAAATCATAAACCAAGTATTTGATGTCCTGTTAGTTAGCATGAAATGTCGCTTTAAACTTTCCACAACAAATGCATTGAATCAGATTCTTATTCAGTAAAACAAGTTTAATAGCAAGATGAAAATCTCATATTTCTTTATTATTAAAGAGCCAATGAATTTGTGAAATCGATACAAACGGAGATATCATCGATCGCCGGAGTTTGTCGGCAATCGAGGGGAAGAGACGAGAGATGAATAGGGTTTGCTCAACAACAATAAGTTCATATCTAGATTTTTAGCTTTTTTCAAATATATACACAGATAACTGAGAAAAGGAACGTGGGGAATATATCCATATGGATATTGGATATACACGAAGAAGATGAAGGCTAATACTAGGGGATGATGATTGATGAGTACAGTACAATATGTGTGTGTGAATTTTGCTACTTGTACATAAAAAATGTACATAAGCGATTACTGAAAATGATGTGGAGGGAAAAAATTGGATAAGAAAGTTGATTGTATTTTAAATTGTCAAGTAACAGAGTATCTTGTGATATTATGTAATCCATAATGCAAATCTTGATGTACATATAGTAAAATCATATTACGATCCTTAACATAAATTAAGCACGCTGTTTAGGAGATCATTAATGTGTGTGTATTCATTTTTAGTTTTTATTATGCAACAAATTATGTTTTAAGAGATGAGATATTTTTGAACAGTACATAACCAGTTCGAATAGTTGGTGTGAAAGCAAGGTTTCAAAAATGAATAGTAATAGACCATCCCCTCTTTTTAAGTAGAGGGGAGAAATTTGTGGCATGAATATAATGACTCATTAAATATCTGCTCGTTCGTCATTATCGTAATTTAAAATCCAAACACGAGTTAAAAAATATATATTTATAGAGCTGTTAATAGTATTTGACACCGTCCCTTGATTATCATCCACAGACATTATAACACGTTTCTTATGCAATTTAATCTCTTTTTATTTTAAGGTTATATTAAATAATTACAAATTATTTACATGTTGTTTGTAAACTGTTAAACTAAAAGTTTTAGTAAATTTTGATACAAAATTGATGATATATGTAGTTAAAATTTGATAAAAACTGTGAATCATATTTGTAGTTAAAATTAAAGTTTAATTGGTTAAAAAATTACTAAAAAAAAAGGAAAAGATTATCAAACATTTTTTCTAAACAACCCACTAATGTAGTGTGCCACCTAAATACGATCCTTAACATAAATTAAGCACGCTGTTTAGAAGATCATTAATGTGTGTGTATTCATTTTTAGTTTTTATTATGCAACAAATTATGTTTTAAGAGATGAGATATTTTTGAACAGAACATAACCAGTTCGAATAGTTGGTGTGAAAGCAAGGTTTCAAAAATGAATAGTAATAGACCATCCCCTCTTTTTAAGTAGAGGGGAGAAATTTGTGGCATGAATATAATGACTCAATAAATATCTGCTCGTTCGTCATTGTCGTAATTTAAAATCCAAACACGAGTTAAAAATTATATATTTATAGAGCTGTTAATAGTATTTGACACCGTCCCTTGATTCTCATCCACAGACATTATAACACGTTTCTTATGCAATTTAATCTCTTTTTATTTTAAGGTTATATTAAATAATTACAAATTATTTACGTGTTGTTTGTAAACTGTTATACTAAAAGTTTTAGTAAATTTTGATACAAAATTGAAGATATATCTAGTTAAAATTTGATAAAAATTGTGGATGATATTTGTAGTTAAAATTAAAGTTTAACTGGTTAAAAAATTACTAAAAAAAAAAAAAGAAAAGATTATCAAACATTTTTTCTAAACATGTCAAACTTTGATAGCAATTCCAGATTCGATTAAACCAAACGAACAGGTTCAATGATGGAGCCTGTTCCAGGGGCTGAATGTCAGCCTCAGATTGGCAATGTTTTATTTTAATTTTTTTAAACTTCCAATGAGATTCACAAGTGTTTATCTGTTTAAAAATATGTCATTGAGCCTGTTTTTGTAGAGGATTGTTTTTAGATTTGATCAAATTCATTTTTCGAGGCTTTTTAGGAGAGATTTTTTTCGAGCGAAAATAATTACTTCGAAGAATGCGTGCTTAAAAAGTAGAAATAATTAGGGTCTCATAGAATGCATAATTGAAAAAAATTGAAAAAAAATAAATTTTAAAAAAATTTTCTCAAACAAAATTATTTGAATATTAAAATTAAAACTGCTTTTGCATTTTTAAAGCATGGCCACACACTTATGTTTCACATTATTGATAAAAGTTCACATGATTTTTCTATTAAATAGTACAATATGTTTCACAAAAAGAGCCAATGAATTTGTGAAATCAATACAAACGGAGATATCATCGATCGCCGGAGTTTGTCGGTAATCGAGGGAAAGAGACGAGAGATGAATAGGGTTTGCTCAACAACAATAAGTTCATATCTAGATTTTTAGCTTTTCTCAAATATATACACAGATAACTGAGGAAAGGAACGTGGGGAATATATCCATATGGATATTGGATATACACGAAGAAGATGAAGACTAATACTGGGGGATGATGATTGATGAGTACACTACAATATGTGTGTGTGAATTTTGCTACTTGTACATAAAAAATGTACATAAGCGATTACTGAAAATGATGTGGAGGGAAAAAATTAGATAAGAAAGTTGATTGTATTTTAAATTGTCAAGCAATAGAGTATCTTGTGATATTATGTAATCCATAATGCAAATCTTGATGTACATATAGTAAAATCATAT